TGGCTGGGTGACCTCAGCATTGCTCAGCTCTGCTCTCTCTGCCTCTATTTCAGTTTCCCTTCACCTCACTGTTCTGGGTAAGATATTATAAAGAAACTAACGAATGCAAAGTTATATTTATAATAAGCACCCAAAATAGAAAAAAAAGATGTGCAATCGTTCACACATTAAAAAAAGCAACCATCACATTCAAGATCCTGTCCTTTCTAAATAGCATCTGCTGTGTGCATCTTCAGGGAAAATCCCACTGAGCAGAACACGGCACTGGGACAGCTATCTGTCTGTCTTACCACCAACCCTAAGGGGACAGAGCCCCTAGGAAACCAAAGGGGATGTGACACGGAGGGAGGAACCCTCAGCTGGAGCAGAAGGGCCCTGAGTCATTGGCAGCAGGGACATGAGGTCACCCTGCAGCTGCGGACACAGTCAGGGGTTTCCCTTGTTCATCCCCTTTCCTTCCCCCCTCCCCTATGGCTCACTGCAGGATATCCCTCCGGGATTCATGTGTCTGGGGCACCGCATCCCCCTTTCCCGCAACACCCCGTATGTCCCTTCAACCAGCTGTCTGACAGCCCTGTGCCTGTCCCCATGGGGTGACGGGGCAGGACCCCAGCACGCAGCAGCCCACGGTGGCTCAGCTCCTCGGCACGGTGGGAAGCGAGGGGAAGCCTGGCTGTGAGGTGGCGGGTCACGCGATCAGCACAGCCCTCATCCAGGAACCATCCCGATGACGTGGCCCCGCCGCCCGCCCCAACGCCAAGTGCTCCAGCTCCTTCCCTCCTCATCCGCCTCCCACCCCTCCTGTCTGCTCCCTGCTGCCTTCCCAGAACCTTTGCTCCTGAGCAGCACCCCCCTAGCAGCACCACAGCAGGGCTTTCCCTATGGCATTATGCAGCCACACAACCAAAGGGTGATAGCATCGGGGCTTTCCTGCAAGATACGAGTCTCCATAAGCTTCCCAGGGATTCCCAGCCCCCTGCAGGACTCCTGGTTGGTGCAGCATCCCCTCAAGGGGGATCCCACTGAAGAGACCCTCAGGGATGGAGAAGCAGGGGCTGAGCCTGCATTGGACCATGGTGATCCATCCTCAGAACCACCTGCAGCCACCAGCCACGCAGGGACCATCTTGGGGTGCTCCTCAGCATGGGGGCACTCGGGGACCACCACCCCAGAGTGAGCAGTGCTGTACCTTGCATAGGTCCTGCAGACCATATTCCACTGATGAAGTCAGCACCTCCAGTGCCTGCAGGCAAAAGAGACTTTGTGAGCATCGGGTGCAGGAACAGGCATGGCACCCCAGTGGACAAGAGCACATGTCCTCCTGCCTCTGCGGGAGCTCTCAGGTGGGGTATGGGACAGGGAGGGCTGCCCCATAGGGGCATTTGAATGTGCCCTGCTCTGGTGTCCCCATTCCCATCATCCAGGATGTGCACAGCATCCCAAGGCTGGGGCAGACACATGTGGGACAAGATGCTCTGGACACCCCTCTGTGCTAGGCTGAGCCCCACACACTCATTGCAATGTTAACCAGCCATAAAGTGTCATACAGAGCATCCACTCCACTTTCAAAGCACCCCCCACCTCTGCATCCCCCCTTGTCCCTCTCAGCCCCATGGTCCCTGCCAGCCCCATCCCCACTCACGATGTGGCTGTTGAGGGTGACGCTGTTGGTGTAGAGGAACTCGATGACGGCCAGGAACACCTCGGGCTGCACATTGCCCAGGATGAAGGGTCCCTGGGGTGGGATGCTGCTGGGGGAGTCCTCGCTGCCCGCCGGCCCCTGGCTGAGCATCCCCCGGAAAGCCTGGCAGCGGCACGCCAGCACGCAGCGGTGAGCAAACACCTTCTGCTGCTCCCGGCCCACCACGAATGTCACATCACTGCACAGAGAGGGGACCGTGAGGGATGGGGTACCTAGGAGCTGGCTCACAGGATGCTCTGGAGCTGGGACAGGGCACATGGGCAGGGACTGGGTGGGTGAGCGTTTCCTAGCAGAGGCACAAGAGGGTCCTTGCTTGTGGCTCCTTATGGCCATCTGAAAGGTGGGGTGGGCAGGACGGGTCCTCTGGAAAGCACAGGTACCGAGCACAGACAGACGTGAGTGCTGGCACAGAGGAGGGCGGAGGAAGGCCAGGAACAGCTGGAGAAAGTGGCTTTCTCTTTTGGCACGGCAGAGCAGGAGAAAGCAGGGCTGTCACTGGGCTCAGCCTCCTTGACTCACGGGAACTGAGTCATGGGCTCATGGATGTGCAGCCTCTGGCATTGCTGCCAGCAGGGCTGGCACTGGGCTTGTGCTGCACTCTGAGGCACGAGGTCTGCCCCGCTGCCCTTGTCCCACATAGCCTCCCAGCACCATGGGAGTGTTCGTTCCCCTTCCCAGGAAAGGGAGGCAAGATGAGAGGAAAAGGGACTCTCTAGCCTATATGCACCATGCAGCCATGGCCCATCCATCCTCTCCTCCTCTATTCCTCCATCCCAGCAGGGCAACAGAAGATATGCCACCCAAACGCTAGTTGCCACGCACACACCCATAGCCTCATGGTGTCCCACAAGGAGATGGATGTGCCCACCAGAGGGAAAGGCACCTGGGTCATCCCACATGTCTATTGGGACGGGCATACTGGGCAGTATGAGCTTAGCCCTCCATGTAAGGGGGACTGAAATTAACTGTTCCATGGCTGTGGTCCACAAGCAGCGGAAGCAGCCTGTGAGATGTGGGATGCAGGCTGCAGTTACGGGATGCAAGGTCTGGGATGCAGGATGGAGGTTCAGGCAGCAGGATGGGCAGAGGACGAAGGCTGCAAAATGCAGAAAGAAGAATGAAGGCTGTGGGACGCAGGCTACAGGAGGAAGGATGTAGGATAAAGGTGACAGATGCAGAGTGCAGATTTCAGGTTGCAGGATGTAGAATGAAGGCTGCAGGGTGAAAAGTGTGGGATGCAAGCAGTGGGCTGGGGATGACCAGGCACTGGCAATCACTTCCCCACTGCCTGGTGCTGTGGCTGGGGAGTTTTCACTGGAATTTCTCTTCTGGGTGGCCAAAATCTTCAGCAGGGGCGAGGGTTTGCTCAGATAGCACTGACATTTGTGCCAGGCCTCAGCACAGGACCACAGGGCCAGCCTACTGCCAGGCAGGACGTGCCGGGTAGGTGCCGGGTAGCGGGGGCAGCAGCTCTCCATCTCCACTGATGCTGCGGGAGGAGGTAGCACGGATGCCAAGCGCTGCCACCTGCCTTCAGTGCTGCCGGAAGGATGGAGATACCAAAGGAAAGCACTGAAGGAGCCAAGCACGGGTAGCTGGCTGCCGCTGGGGAGCAGGGTGGCTGCAGCACACTTACTGCTGGCATCACTCCCTGGGACAGAGAGGACCCGGGCACACTGGGGGTCCTTCCCTTCTCCGGAGCGGTGGTGGCTGCCCCAGGGCGGAACGTACCCAGCAGCTCTGGGCTCCTGCAAAAGCCGTGCGGGCTCCGAGTGCTGAAGGGAGGTCCTAACACCCCCCCTCCCCACCACCGCAAGGCTCAGGTCCATGGGGAAGCAGCACAGAGCAAGCACCGGGGGCTTCGGCACTGCTGGGGGGGGGGTGTGGGGGTGTGAACCCCGCAAGCCCTCACCTGAACTGGGGGTTGTTGACCAGGGTGCGGAGCGCAGCGGTGAAGGCGGCCGCTTCGCCCTGCAGCAACCGCGCCGAGCAGGGACCAGCCATGGGGAGGAGGGCGGAGGAAGGGAGGCAGGCGGGAGGGAGGCCGGCCCGGGGAGCCCGCAGGGAGGAGGCCGCTACGCGCCATGTCCCATTGCTAGGGAAACCCGGCATGGAGCAGGAGGGCTGCTGGGGAAGCAGCGGCAGGGAGAAAGGGGTGGCGAGTGGTGAAGCCCGTTTCTTGCTGGCGAGGCAGCGCCATCCGGGTGTCTGCCCGGCGGGATTGGATGGCTCGGTCCATGCGGCATCCCCCTGATGTGGCTCACAGCAGGGCACCAGCACCGGGACCTGTCTGCTGCGGAGAAGCGCATGGATGGGGCAGATGGGGGTGGAGGGAAAGGCAAAACATGTGAAGGATCAATGCACAAAGATCACCGCCACCTTTATATGCACTGCCCCCATGGAAAGCTGCTGGGCATGGCTGAGTGCCCTGCACTGGGAGATCGGGTCCCTGAACAGCAAAAGTAATCTTTCCTGCTGATGCTTCAGGTCAAAGCCCTGCAGCTCTCCTGTCTGCTTAGGACACGAGAGCACAGGCAGAGAAAAGCGTAACCAGCCTCACTGAAGCACTGCACAAGGGGATGCCCAGTCCCCTGTCTCTCAAGCCTGGCTGGACCCAACGGACACGATGAGGGTGCCTGCAGAGGGACCCATCTTTGACTATCAGTGGTAGTGGAATGCAGAAGGAAGCACAGGGCCCACAGCAGCAGCCCGAGGAAGCAGGGTCCAGCTGCCAGCTCTTGGCAGCGCTAGTCAGCGGCAGGCTATAAATACCTCTGATGGGAGATAGAAACACAAAAGCCATCTCGTCTTTCCTCAAGCAGCTTGGCAGCCGGGCCAAACAAAGGCACATTGATGGGGTGGCGGTGGTGTACCAGCTGGGCTGGGCTCCGACAGTGGAGAGAAACCACCGCAGGGCTAGGAATCCCCAGCAAACTTGCCCTCGGGCCAGGGCTGTGCTCAATGGGTGCCCATCTGCCTATAGACTCCCTTGATACAGGGAGAAAAGGACCTAAATGATGAAAAGATGAAGCTGTGAAGAGGTGCCAGCCCCAGTGCAGCCCATAGCTGGGGTGCAAAGCATCAATCACAGTGGCTAATCTCTACCCTTCCTTGCTCTTCCTTCACACATTTAACACAGGGAAACGTTTTGGGGGGCTGGCAGGGGGCAGCCAACTTTGGAATGCCTGGAGTGACTGCAGCTGTCCAGAGACCAGGAAACAAGGAGTTACAGGAGCCATGCCCCAGAGCAGCCCTGGAGAGCTGCAGTATCACATAGCAACACACTGTAGGAACACAACAGGTTTGTCCCTGCCAAGGTTGGCCCTGGGCAGCCAGAAGCACAACATTGGCTGGAAGCAAGTCCCCTGGGTTTACCCCTGCAGGGCAGGAGCAGGGCTACTGGTAAGCGTGGGGACAGGGAGGCTGGAGCAGAAGGAGCTGCTCCCCTGTGCCATCGGAAAGGCTGGAGATGGGAGAGCTGAGGGCTGGGTGGACCAGGGATGCAGTGGGTCAGTGGTGGCTGCTGGGGAGGGTGGTGCTGGAGAAGGGAAGCCAGCTGCCATGGTCCCCCCAGCCCCTTGCCATGGGATTGCAGGGGTCAGAGATAAGCAAAGCAGAGATGGGATGAAGAACCTGTGGGACAACCTTACCTCCTCCTGACACTCTCCTTTCCAGGCCACCCAGATGGCTGAGCAGCCCTTCGCAGAGGTGTCCGTGCCAGCCAAGGCGATGGCTGCAGACAACACCGAAGCCCACCCGCTCCGAACCACCCGCCGCGGGTCCCAGCCCCACGCACGGGGCACAGAGGAAGGCAAAGCGCCGGCGCTGCTCTCCCGCCGCAGCTCCATCCTCAGCACCCTGCCAGCAGCCCTGGCCAGCCGCCGCAGCTCGCTGGGGGCAGCCCCGGGGGGCAGGCGCCCCTCCATCGGCCCCTGGATGCTCCACAGCCGTGTGAGCTTCTCCGGGTTGCCCCTGTTCCAGCCCATCCTCAAGACCCGCCTGGAGAACACTTACAGGATAGGACCAGATGAAGGCTGCAAGTTCAATGCAGGGCGGGTGCAGCGGGTGCTGGAGGGGGCTTTGATGGGTGCCCTTGAGACCGTGGTCTACACACCGCAGGGCAGTGCGCTGCTAGCCCAGAACCTGGTTGAGATGCTGCAGAGCAGAGCAAAGGAGGTGGTACCACCCCGGTACAAGCTGGTCTGCCACGTGCTGTTGGGACAGCAGGCACAGCAGAGCCTGCTGGTGGCCAGCCAGGCACTGTGGGACCCCGAGAGTGACAGCTTTGCCTCCGCCACCTTCTCCAATGCTTCCCTCTTCGCTGTGGCCACAGTGCATGGGGTCTACTTCGAGTAGGACCTGCCTCTCCCTCCACTCAGCGCTGTAGCGCTGCTGAAATAAAGAGGTTTGCATCAGCTCTGGCTCGTACCTGCAGTCTGTCATCATGGTGTCTGCAAGGATCAAGGGATGGGTGCACCTCAGTGCCCTGATGCTCACTACAGTCCCCGGCCTGGGCTCACAGCCACACCATAGCTTTCACTAGCAGAGTTCACAAGATGCAAGCTGCAGCACAGGCAACCCAAAAGGCTGCATTACCCTGGGACCGGTGCCTGCCCAAGGCATTGCTACAGGAGCAGCCCAGGCTGCTTCCCACAGCATAAGCCACTCCCAGGCAGATCCATTACACAGTGATGGGAAAGAAGGTGACAGATTACCTTCGAAACAAGTTCACAGAGCACATTAAACTCCTCCTTTTTCCTGGCTCCAGTCCCAGCTCAAACCCCATCACATCAGCTGTCACAGGGCAGGGACCCAGGCAACCCACCAACCCCTGGGCCTCAACTCCTGCATCTCAGCGACAGCATGAGAGCAGGTGGGTTTGGTCCAAGTGCAGTGGCAGTTGGGGATGAGGCTTTGGCAGCAGCAAGGAGACACTGAGGCAATCCCAGAGCTCCATAGGCACCAACAACAGCTAATTCTGCCCTTCCCACCATTCACAGGAACAGTGGAGGTACCAGACAGGCTCCTCCCCTCCATCCTGTGTCCCTGACCTTGTCCCCAGCAGCAGCAAGAGGGGGCCTGCGTGGCAGACAAACAGCTTTAGAACAAGGACGAAAATTAAGCCCTTTGGTGCCCAAGCTCCAAGCAAGTCAAACACAAATAGATTTTTATTGAGGTGAGTCAAAGACAGGGGAGCTGCACATGTACAGTCCAACAGGAAAATAAATAATTCCATATAAATAAGGTACATAAATAGTCCCACGTGGCAGAGACTGCCTCGAAACAAGAAACTTCCCTGGGTCCCAGCAAGATGAGGGCTCCTCCAGGCAAGCCCTTGAATTCCACCCCCCCCTTATCAAAACATCAGGTTGTACCAGACAATTCACAATTTAGAAGCAGACAGGGCACGTTGGGCCCACTTTCCTTAGTGTAGGAGTTGTGGAGCGGCACACATGAGCCCACACAGCCCCTGGCAGGGCAGGCAGCAACCTTCACCCCTGTCCACCCCTAGGGAAGGGGTTTTTCCTACCCCACAGCAGCCAACAGCCTTGAAGCCAAGGCTGTGCCAGTCCTCTCCCATCCATGGAGAGGGTCAGTGAACTGGTGCACCAGCCAGGGCAGGCTGGAGCACCAGGGTCCAGACAAGGCACAGCCAACCCCGAACTTGGCCACGGGGCACTCACCCACCACCTCCCTCCCTGTGCCACCCCAGTCCCCCCCCACCAAGACCAGCACAACAAGAGCAGGAGCTACCAGTGAGAACACAGCAATTGTCCAGAGCCAGGGAGCAAGCAAGGACACCCAGACCTGCTGCTGTAACCACATCCACGTGTCTTTAGTCCAGAGTCCAACTGAGCACCGGGATACAGGGTGCCCAGGCGGGCAGCCAGCACCACAACATCCCTCCCATCCCATGGGAGGGGAGGAGGAGACCTCTATGTCCAGTGAGGGTTCCCCCAAGGTCCCATGCTAGGCTTCAGCACGTTCTTGGAGGAGCTTGAGGATGTATTTGAGGCGGTGGTGGAGCTCAGGAGAGCAGCCCAGCTCCTGGATGCTGCACAGCTTGTAGGTGTAGGAATTTCGCTCCCGGTTGATGTAGGTGACAAGGCAGGAGTGGTCAGGCTTGCTAATGATCACCTTGGTGTGGTCATTGTAGAAGTTCACCTAGGAGACAGGTTGGACTTGGTTTAACCCATGCTTCCTGCGGCATGTCGGGAGCCAGGATGGAGCCACGCTTCCTGCCTCAACCCGTTCCTCCTCCCCAACCTGCCCAGGAGCATCCCTGCTCCATGCCCTGTGGCAGGAATGTGCCAGCCCCAACATCAGGGCAGACACAAGTGGCCGACTGAAGCATCATGTCCCTCACAGGCTGCACAAGCTGTGACCAGCAGCACAGCGCACCCACAGCTGGACTGTGCATGGGGGCTGTGGCAGACAAGATCTGACAGATGCCACAAGTCCCCTCCTCCCCATGGGGGTCTGTGCATCTCCACTGTGCCCCACACATACCTGCAGGGTGCCATTGCTGAAGAGCATGAGCAAGGCTTGGTCAGTCTTCACCCACTGCAGGAGGAGCAGGGCTGGCTGCCCAAGGTCATCTATGCTGGGCAAGTCACCTCCCTTAGAGAGAAGAGTCTTCATTAAGCCACTGGTCCCATACATGGGAACACTGTCACCAGCATACACACAGACAAACCCAGGCACTGGGAAGACAACTCACACCCACCTTCATGAGATGCTGCTCCATGTAGGATGCAAAATAGCGCAAGACACTCATCTGCCCCTGCAGCTGCTCAGGGATAGCGGCCACAGAGAACACAAGGTGCTTGCTGCTGGTTGGGTTGTAATGCACAGTCCTGGGAAGGAGCAGACTGTGATGAGTTTCGGGGCCACCCAGCACCAAAGCCACCCTGGCCCTGCCTCCCCTTGCCCCTTCCTACATCAGGGGCTTCCCCAGAGACACCATCCCCTTCCCCACCACTTACCTGTGGTTAGGGGAAAGAGTCATGTGCGTGCCATTGTTGAAGAGGACCCCAATGCTACGGTTGGAGAGCTGGTAGCCAAAGCCATACTTGTTGGAGTAATCCACCCACTTGCTCACCCAGACAAAGTGCTCGTGGCGGGCCAGAGAAGCCGGATTTTTCCCCACTGGTCGAAAAGAGAAGGGATGAGCAGAGCAGGAAGCCAACCCCTGCCCACCTCTAACAGCACCCAAAGAGCAGCCTTGCCTTCATCCCGTGGGGAAGGGGATGCTCAGCTCCCTCCCTCATCCCAGAGTGGACCAACCGGTTTACCTGGGGGCATGGAGGAGAGGCAGGTCCGCAGGAGCCGGACAGCCGACTCGATGATGGCAGAGGTAGTGATGCAGTCTTCAAAGGCTGCGGGCAGAAGATGACAGGCTGAGTCAGCCAGCCCCACTATCAGCCAGGGCAGCACAGGAAGCCTGGGGCAGGTATTGCTCACCCTCACAACTGCTGGCCATCGTCCCTCGGATGGAGGGGGATGCAGACTTGTGAGATGTCTCCTCCACCACTGTCTCCACGGGGCTAGAGCTGGCACTGTGGCATGATACAGGGGCGGCCTGTGGAGAGACTTGGCTTTATCACTGTCCCACTTGCTCCCCCACCAAAGGAGGGTGTGCATGGGCTCAGGGGTGTTCCCACCTCATTCCCTTCCACAGTTTTATAGCTCATCTGCCGGCAGATCGAGGTCTTCATCAGCCCAGTGACCAGCTTGGAGATGTCATCCTTGTCTTCCAAAGAGCCCTTTTTGGCTGAGGAGAAAGGAAGTGATGAGCACACGGGATGGGGACATCGTGGCCACCCCTCCCATTCAGCTCTCCCTCATCTGCCCATGGTGGTGAGCACAGCATCAGGCAGCTGCCTCCCACTTTCACTTCCCAGTTCTCATGCAACAGAGGGCTTCCAGGAGGAACTGCCCCCATGGGTTTCAGCACCGCATCCGCTCTCCAAGCGCACACCCATGCCAGGCCACCGGTGCCAGAAATGCAGGGGGGGCAAACACAACTTATGCTGGCCTCAGGCAGGGGGTCCACAGAGAACCATCAGGAGGTCTCTCCAGGAGGCAGAACCCACTTCTCCCTGGAGGAAGGGTCACCTGGGCAAGCACATGGACTCACCTTTGGGTTTCTTCTTCCCAAAGAGGGTCTTGGTGACTTTAGCAAAGAGACTCTTTGCTGGGTTGGGGGGATTCAGCTCTGGAGCCATCACACAGCTGCTGGGAGGGAGTTTCTCAGGCGTGTAGCCCTGCAGGGAGGTCAAGGCAGAGGTTTGGTTTCCATAGCCCACGTGCTTCAGGCACAGCAGCTGCCCTGGGCTGACCACAGTCACTCACAACCCTCCTGACAGCCAGCTTGCATTTCCTCTAAGCCTTGGCCCCAGGAATGGCATCAGTGCAGGAAACAACCCATGCTATAGGGACAAGGCAGCGGGAGCACACCAGATCCTTCAGTTCCCCTCGCTGGCATTTGGGTAGGACATCAGCTGCTTCCTTTGAAGGACTGAGACGTGGGCTCCAAGGACAGCACAACACAGCCCGAAAAGCCTCACCCCACTTGGAGAAGGGTCAGGACTGAACCCCAACACACTCACCTTGAAGAACTCATGGTCCAAGATCTCCTCAAGGGTGAGGCGGTCCTGAGGGTTGCGTCTGAGGATGCCGGCGATGAGGTGCTTGGCGGGCAGGGAGAGGAAGACAGGGAGGGTGTACTCCACTTGCTTGATACACCTGTACGTCTCCTTGAGATCAGAGGTCTCGAAGGGAGGGTTCCCACACAGCAGGGTGTACCTGGGAGGGGATACACGTGCCACTGTCACATCCCCACCAGGCTTTGTGACTCAGCAGCACTTAAAGCAAGGAAGTCATCGGCATTTGGCCGCCACACCTGGCTGGGAGCACCACTTCCAGCCTGGGCTGCCCTGCTGACATCCGGCCATGCTTCCTCCTAGCAACTGTTTAGAGCAACAGGCAAGGAGCACTGGGGAGGGAGAGGGGGCCGGCGGGCAAAGGCCACCTTCTGCCACCGTTGCTCCCAGCCCTGCGTGGCTGATATGGTGGAAAGCAGAGCAGGAAGCCTGCAGGCAGCAGCCAGGCAAGGGGCTGGATGCACTTAAGCAATTGCTCCCCAAACAAACAGAGCAGCAGCTGCCACCAGACACTGAGGTTTTCCATTGTTTACCAGGTTCACAGGGCAGTGCTTTGAACCGGAGCTGAGCACAGCACAAGAGCACCTGCCCTTTGCTACCCTGCATGCACAGCCCCTGACAGGCATCCCAGCATGGCTGGCAGCACCCACTCCAGAGCAGGGCTGGGCAGGATCCAGCCACTCTCTACCCTCCCCTTGCCTTTTGTTGGGCAA